GATTGCCCAACCTTCCTTCCGAGGAGTGGCTGGTGGGTTTGAACTGCCTGCCATCTGGTTAGCAGGCAAGTGTCTTAGCCACTACTTACTTAGATGATTTGAAAGCATTAATAAGAAAAAGAAACTATAAAACTTGACTTAAACAGTTTGAAAGTATTAAGAAAAACAAGCTAAAAGTAAATATATGTACTAAAAAATAAGTTCACCTTGTTAGCTGAACCTTGCTGGTAAAAAACCATACAACTGACTTTCTAAGAAATCTTACTTTAAACCTATTACCACAAATATCTAGTTGGGCCCTTAATTTGACCTGTTAGTCCTCTTACCTGCCAATCCTCTTATACTACTCTGCATATTTTCCCACTCTCCAGTAATATGATTTCCCACATTCCCCTCTTTCCTTAGACCTCCTATATGTCTCCTCCATTCTTTCCCCTCTTCTTGCCTACTTTGTTTGTTTTTTTTTTTTTAATTGTGATTTGGGTGAAAATTTACAGAGTAAATTCACTTTCCATACAGCAGTTCACATACACTTTGTCTCATGACACTGACCACAATTTACCCCAATGCAACAGCTCCCCTCCCACTTCCTTCCGACAGTCACCTCTTCCCTGTGTCCATCCCTCCACGTACTCCTGCCCCCAGAGCTGTCTCCCCATGCATAAACAGCCCTTCTTTCTCCCGTGATTGTTCTCTCCAAGGAGTGTATCTACCTCAGGTAAATGTTCAATTCATAGGCCTATCTTTTGTTTGGCTGGAAGCCACAGGTGTGGGTTCAATTCCAGACCTAAAGGGCAGCTAGGGGCTATAGTCTCAGTGGTTCCACCAGGGTCTATCGGACCAGCAAACCTGGTGCCCCCCCCCCTTTTTTTTCTCCAAATGATTTTGAGTTTTGTTGCACTTGCCTACTTTCTTGAGAACCAATGATCTTACTACCCTGGGAAAATGGAAGTTCTCAAAAAAGGACTCCTCATTTTCCCCCCAGCAAATCTAGCAAGCTGCCTGCAGCTATGCCCATACTCTCAGATTTCCATGTGATACTAAAGAAGAGGTGACCCAAATCCCCTCCCCTGTACTCTGGGTCCCAAGCCTTCGAGCTTTCTTAGTGTATGACATCCTGTTGTATCTTCTATCTCTCCTTCAAAATGTATCAATCTATTCCTTTCAGATCATTCTTGACCAATGCAATGTTTTTAAGCATGATGTAGTATATCCTAACCTTACAAAATGTTCCAATTTAATATAACAAAGGTATTATTTTAACTCAGTGTGAAAAAGGATATATAATAACCATAATTGCAAAAGTGAATATTCTTTTGTCAGGAAATAATGTAGGGATTGCAGCCTCAAAGCTGTCTAAATGAATCAAACACCCAAACAAAAAAG